CAAATAGTAGTTGGTGTGCAGTTCATAGTTTCTCACTCGTGGCTAGTTTGAAACATGGGGTGGCTGAAAAATAGTGAGGCTGCTTTACCTGAACTATTAACTCTGACACTAATTTTAGTCAAACTTAGTACTAGGTATTAATAGAACTAAGAAACCATGAAAGAAATGGAAAACATTGATATCCTTTTCAATTTCTTTAGAAAGATGTACATAATACAATTATAGAACAGAAGAAAGGAAATGATTGAATTAATGCTATAATGAAATGTTTGTAAATTATGGAAATTAAAGATGTAAAAGATGCATATGGCTTACTGGCAGATTATTTATTTGGTTCATTTGTAGAGTGTTCCAAGTATGAGAACTGCTTTTATGTCTTCATAGTTTAAGGAAGCTATTTGCAGCTACACTTGGAATTAGCTTTCTCTTCTCCATACTCAACTGTTGATCCTTGTTTTTCTCCTTTTATTTTGTCAGATATTGCAGACTTAGTTTCCCAGACTTTATTTGAGTATGTAGTGCTTGTCAGTAGGCTGTACTGTGCTGTGCACAACTTTCAAAATCCTGAAGTCCTATTTGTGACTTCTTGGCTGTGTTTTTCTTCATTTGTGAATTTGTGTTAGTAATAGTATTCTGAATAGGCACAGGGGCTCATACCTGTAATCCTAGCACTTTGGAAGGCTTAGTCAGGAGCATGTCTTGAGCTCAGGAATTCTAGACCAGCCTGGGCAACATAGTGAGACCCTATCTGTAAAAAAATTTTGTTAATTAGCTGGATATGGTGCTGCATTCCTATAGTCTCAGCTACTTGAGAGGCTGAGGTGGATGGATTGCTTGAGCCCAGGAGTTGCAGGCTGCAGTGAGCTGTGATTGCACCACTGCACTCTAGCTAGGGTGACAGCAAGACTCTGTCTCTAAAATAATAATAATAATAAAATGATAATAGTACCCTATTAAAATATAAAGAAGCTATGAAATGAGGTTTGTAAAAAATGATTTGGGGAATATCTTATGAAAGTTAAAGTCCTTTGGAAATATTAAATGAGAGTAGTTTATGCACAGTTTAGTGTAATTGCTCAGAATCTTTTTAAGAAAAATTCTCCTGTCTGGTGATTCATATATGTGTTTATTATTGTTGTTGGGTTTTTTTTTGTTGTTTGTTTGTTTGGTTTTTTTTTGAGGCAGGGTCTTGCTATGTTGCCCAGGCTGGTTTCAAACTCCTGGGCTCAATAAATCTTCCTGCCTCAGGCTCTTGAGTAGCTGGAATTATAGACACAGGCCACCATGCTTGGCTCATATATATTTTCTATGTATAAAATTGTCACTGTCTTTTTTTATACCACATATACATACACATTTATATCTTGAATCTAAAATGAGTTAATCTCAGAACTGTAGAAATTAACCCTAGCTTCAGTCTCAGAATACCGATGGAGTTTTTTTGTTTTTTGGGTTTTTTTGAGAAAGAGTGTTGCTCTCTTGGCCAAGCTGGAGTGCAGTGGCATGATCTCAGCTTACTGCAACCTCCGCCTCCCAAGTAGTTGGGATTACAGGTTCCCACGAACACGCCCAGCTAATTTTTAGTGTCTTTTCTTTTTTTTTGAGACAGAGTTTCACTCTTGTTTCCCAGGCTGGAGTGCAATGAGGCGATCTAGGCTTACCACAACCTCTGCCTCCAGGGTTCAAGCGATTCTCCTGTCTCAGCCTCGCAGTAGCTGGGATTACAGGCATGTGCCACCATGCCTGGCCAATGTTGCATTTTTAGTAGAGACAAGGTTTTTCCATGTTGGCCAGACTGGTCTTGAACTTCTGATCTCAAGTGATCCACCCACCTCGGCCTCCCAAAGTGCTGGGATTACAGGCCTGAGCCACCGTGCCTGGCCTGGATTTGTTTATTTGTTTGTTTTGTTTTGTTTTGAGAAGTAGTATTGGTCTGTCACCAGGCTGGAGTGCAGTGGCACAATCTCGGCTCATTGCAGCCTCTGCCTCCTAAGTTCAACTGATTCTTCTGCCTCAGCCTCCCAAGTAGCTGGGACTACAGGTGCATACCACTATGCACAGCTAATTTTTGTATTTTTGGCAGAGATGGGGTTTCACCAAGTTGGCCAGGATGGTCTTGATTTTTTGACCTCGTGATCCACCTGCCTGGGCCTCCCAAAGTGCTGGGATTATAGGTGTGAGCCACCATGCCCAGTCCAATTTTCGTATGTTTAGTAGAGATACGGTTTTACCATGTTGGCTAGGCTGGTCTTGAACTCCTGGCCCAGAGTATTATTTTTATAGCACTGCTGTGTTCATTTTGGCTGATGTACTTAAAATTACATATAATGATGAGATGACTGGGGTTTGGGGTTTTGTTTGTTTGTTTGTTTTGAAGATAGAGTCTGGCTCTGTCACCCAGGCCAAAGGGCAGTGGCATAATCTCAGCTCACTGCAACCTCCGCCTCCCGGGTTCAAGCAGTTTTCCCACCTCAGTCTCCCAAAACGCTGGGATTACAAGTGCCCACCACCACGCCTGGCTAATTTTTTGTATTTTTAGTAGAGATGGGGTTTCACCATGTTGGCCAGGCTGGTCTCGAACTCCTGACCTCAGGTGATCTGCCTGCCTTGGCCTTCCACAGTACTGGGATTATAGGCATGAAGCCACAATACTCAGCCCAATTTTGATTGTAGGTTATAATCTCCCTTGTTATTTGATATTTAATATAATTTCACACTTGCTTTTCTTATCATGGTCACTTTCGTGTCCATTTACTAAGAAGTAAATTTTGAAAAGTGAATTACTATAAATTTTAGATTTCAATGTCACTTAAAAAATATACTAGAAAATTGCCAGCTGCCCAAATATATTTTAGAATAATTAAAATAAAACAGAAGTATGAGATAACTTCCTGAAGGAAAACAGCACCAAGAGAACCTAATGCTTTTTCCCAGGATCGTTTTAGATTTGCGCTTACTCTAAGAGTTTAGATCTGAGCCCAAATAGCCTGTCTTGTATTAGCCTGAAAGATCCTCAGGACCCTGCTTCCTTTTTGGAGCTATTCCAGGACATTAATTAGGTGTTTTTTTCCTGGGCTGGACTTATGACAAGCTTTACATATCCATGAGTTTTACATATCCATGTGCAACTAATAGTATTCCTGACACAGAGTGAAATAGATCTAAACATGTTAGCTGACCGTGGAACCACATGGTTTCTTGGTGTCTTTGGACTAGAGATTGAATCTAAACCAAATCTCCCATGACTACTCCAAATTCATTCTGCATTGTATTCAGACCAATTTCTGTAGTTTTCCTAGAACTTAATGGGTATCATTAAGTGATTTTAACTTACTTGTTTTCCCAAAAAGACTTTTTTTCTTTACCTGTTTATATAGTTATTTTCAGCCTACTTAACATGTCACTTTAGGTGATATGAAAATATAAAAACTTTAGGTATCTTAAGGAAGGACATTCTTATTAGATGATGAATCTTTTTTCATATAGAATTAAAACTACTTCAGTGAAAGGGGAGTAGACTTTCACTTCTCATAGGCTTGATCTTTAAAAATTGGCCCAGTGTGGGCTGGGCACGGTGGCTCATGCCTGTAATCCCAGCACTTTGGGAAGCTGAGGAGGGTGGATGACCTGAGGTCAGGACTTCAAGACCAGCCTGACCAACATGGTGAAATCCCATCTCTACTAAATACACAAAAATTAGCTGGGCATGGTGGTGGTCACCTGTAATCCCAGCTGCTCGGGAGGCTGAGGCAGGGAGAATCGCAACAGAGCAAGACTCCATCTCTCTCTCTCTCTCTCTCTCTCTCTCTCTCTCTCTCACACACACACACACACACACACACACAAACACACACACACACACACACACAAAATTGGCCAGGTGTGGTGACTTAAACTTGTAATACAGCACTTTGGGAGGCTGAAGCAGATGGATCACTTGAGCTCAGGAGTTTGAAACTAGCCTGGTCAACATGGTGAAACCCCATCTCTCCAAAAAACACAAAAATTAGCCATGTGTGGTGGTGCATGTCTGTAGTCCCAGCTACTCAGGAGGCTGAGGTGGGAGGATTACTTGAGGTTGGAAAGGAGAGTGTGCAGCAAACCAAGATTGTACCACTACACTCCAGCCTAGGTGACACAGAGTGACCCTGTCTCAAAAACAGAAAAAGAAAAATTGAGAAATCATGAAACATTTGTAAATACTTCTGTATGTCTTTACTTATAGGAAGATATAATCTAGTATTTAATAGAATTTATGGAAAACAACAAAATGCATGAAAATTTGGAGTTTTTCAGTGAACAATTATTTACCAATAAGTTTTTTCCTATAATCCTGTATCTGGCTTCTGGCAGGAAATAGATGGCATACTCAAAGGGACTTGGAGATAATTTAATGTAAGGAATTTTTTACAGATGTATGAGCAGAGTTAAGAGAGCCAATGGGACCAGCAACAGAGGGAGCCATTCCTACCATGAGTCCTGAAAGGGGAGTAGAAGTAGGTGTTAGCAGAACCTGGCGAGAGTGGTAGCTGAGAGAGAGGCCACAAGAAGGGAGCTGTGGCCAGGATAGTGGAATGTAGCCATCACCAACACCACAGTCCTCAGTGGGGAAGCAAGGAGAATCATTATCCAACCTTCTCTTTCCTGTAACACTCTGATTTCTCTGTTGGTACCATCCATTGAGCAGATCTAACCACAAATCAGAAAGCAAGGATGCACAGATGGTGCAGTCCTTAGAAATTAGTCTTCCAGGGCCTAAAGCGCACCAAAGAAGGGGCAGGGATAAACCTACAGGGAGAGACTGTTCTGCACAGTTTCTGAATAGGGTAGCTTGAGTGTCATTCATTGTTATTCAGAATTGTTCCATTTTTCATGTAAGTTGGGCAGACCTGGTCAACATCTGTGTTCTTCCTATAAGTTAGCATTTGAGGTGTTAAACCTCAGTATCTTTATTGATATTTTACGTAATTACATTTTAATTTTTTCTCCCCCTTCTCCAGATTACAATTCCTAGACCTTCTGTGGCATCTACACAGTCAACTTCAGGAAGCTTTCACTATGGTCAGCAGCCAGAGAAGAAAGATCTTCAGCCCATGGAGCCCACTGTGGAACTTTACTCTCCAAGGGAAAACTTCTCTGGCTTGGTTGTGACAGAGGGTGAACCTCCTAGTGGAGGAAGCAGAACAGATTTGGGGCTTCAGATAGATCACATTGGTCATGACATGTTACCCAACTTTAGAGAAAGTAACCTATCTCAAGATCTGGGACCAAAAGAACTTCCTGATCATAACAGACTGGTTGTGGGAGAATCTGAAAATCTCCCTGGGGAAAATGAAGAGAAAAGCATCCTTTTAGAGTCAGATAATGAAGATGAGAAGTTAAGTAGAGGGCAGCATTGTGTTGAGCTCTCCTCTCTCCCAGATTTGTTAATGGTGGAAAAGGATCACTCAGCTACTACTGAACCTCTTGATGTGACAAAAACACAGACTTTTAGTTTGGTGCCAAATCAAGACAAAAATAAGGAGGTAATGAAGCTTCTGACAGTTGGAACTTCAGAAATTTCTCCCAGAGACACTGACTCACATGTTGAAGGTCAGATAGGCCAGGTGGCAGAAATGCAAAAAAGTAAGATACCTAAGGATGATGACATCATGAGTGAAGACTTGCCAGGCCATCAAGGAGACCTTTCTACTTTTTTGCACCAAGAGGGTAAGAGAGAGAAAATTGCCCCTAGAAATGGAGAACTGTTTCATTGTGTTTCAGAGAATGAACATGGTGCCCCAACCCGGAAGGATATGGTTAGGTCATCCTTTGTAACTAGACACAGCCGAATCCCTGTTTTAGCACAAGAGATAGACTCAACTCTGGAATCATCCTTTCCAGTCTCTGCAAAAGAAAAGCTCCTCCAAAAGAAAGCTTATCAGCCAGACCTAGTCAAGCTTCTGATGGAAAAAAGACAATTCAAGTCCTTCCTTGGCGACCTCTCAAGTGCCTCTGATAAATTGCTAGAAGAGAAACTAGCTACTGTTCCTGCTTCCTTTTGTGAGGAGGAAGTCCTCACTCCCTTTTCAAGACTGACAGTAGATTCTCACCTGAGTAGGTCAGCTGAAGATAGCTTTCTGTCACCCATCATCTCCCAGTCTAGAAAGAGCAAAATTCCAAGGCCAGTTTCATGGGTCAACACAGATCAAGTCAATAGCTCAACTTCATCTCAGTTCTTTCCTCGGCCACCACCAGGAAAGCCACCCACGAGGCCTGGAGTAGAAGCCAGGTAATGCTGTGTGCTCTCCCTGTGTTAACTGTAACACCATTTCTATATTTGCTTTATAATGATACCCCATCAATGGTATCATTTCTGTGTTGCTTGCTTCTTTCTTTCCTTCCTTTCCCAGTCCTTACAGCCTAGTGCAGTGGAAGTAATAAGATTGATCCAGGTTAATTCTTTTTTTTCCTTCCAATTTATTGTGGTAAAATACGCATAATATGAAATTTAGCATCTTAACATTTTTGTTGTTGTTGTTTTTATTTTGAGACAGAGTCTCACTCTCATACAGGCTGGAGTGCAGTGGCTCCATATCAGTCCACTGCAACCTCTGCCTCCTGCCTTCAAGAGAGTCTTGTTCCTCAGCCGCCTGAGTAGCTAGGGTTACAGGCATCTGCTATCACACCAGGCTAATTTTTGTATTTTTTGTTTGTTTGTTTTTAGTAGAGATGGGGTTTTGCCATGTTGGCCAGGCTGGTCTCAAACTCCTGGCCCCAAGTGATCCACCTGCATAGGCTTCCCAAAGTGCTGGGATTACAGGCTTGAGCCACCATGACTGGCTGTATCTTAATCTTTTTTTTTTTTTTTTTTTTTTTTTTTTTTTTTTTTTTTTTTGAGACAGAGTTTCGTTCTTGTTACCCAGGCTGGAGTGCAATGGCGTGATCTTGGTTCACCGGACTCTCCGCCTCCTGGGTTCAAGCAATTCTTCTGCCTCAGCCTCCCGAGTAGCTGGGACTACAGGTGTATGCCACCATGCCCAGCTAATTTTTGTATTTTTAGTAGAGACGGGGTTTTACCATGTTAACCAGGATGGTCTCAGTCTCTCAACTTCGTGATCCACCCACCTCGGCCTCCCAAAGTGCAGGGATTACAGGCATGAGCCACCACGCCTGGCCCTTAATCATTTTTAAGTGTACAGTTCAGTGATATGAAGTCCATTCATATTGTCATGCAACCATCACCACCATCTCTCTCCAAAACTCTTATAGCTTATAAAACTGAAACTATACCCGTTAAACCAGGGTTCCCCAACTTGCAGGCCACAGTGTGTGGCCTGTTAGAAACCAGGCCACACAGCAGGAGATGAGTGGTGGGTGAGGGAGCATTACTGCCTGAACTCCACCTGCTGTCAGATCAGCCATGGCATTAGATTCTTATAGATGTGTGAATCCTGTTGTGAACTGTGCATGTCAGAGATCTGGGTTACATGCTCCTTATGAGACTCTGATGCCTGATGATCTTGAGGTGGAACAGTTTCATCCGACACTATTGCCCACCACAGTCTATGGAAAAGTTGTCTTCCACGAAACTGGTCCCAGGTGCCAAAAAGGTTGGAGACTACTGTATTAAACAATAAATCCCCATTTCCTTCTTCCTTCCACACTGTGGCGACCACTAATCTACTTTTTGTCTCAATGATTTTGACTGCTCTAAATACTTCCTATGAAGTACAATCACACAGTATTTGTCTTTTTGTGACTGGCTTATTTTACGTAGCATAGTATCTTCAAGGTTCATCTGTGTTGTAGCACGCATCAGAATTTCTCTTTTTAAGGCCAAATGACAAGGAGGGAGTTACTTTGCCATTTGTTTTCTACAAGCCTGACAGCTATTTGCCTTTCATTTCCTGCATTATTATCTTCTTTTGTATTTAGCTGACTTTTTGTAGCAAACCATTTAAATTCTCATTTCCTTTTGTATATATTCTGCAGCTATTTTCTTTTAAGTGGTTGCCATGGGTGTTACATTTAATATTCTTAAGTTATAACACTTTCATTTGGATTTATAGCAGCTTAACTTCAATATCATGCAATAGCTCTGCTCCTTTCAGTCTCCAGCTCCACTCCTGTCAACTGTTGATGTTACAAAATTACATCTTTATACATTTTGTGTTCAAACACATAAACTAATAATTTTAAAAATGCATTAATCGGGCCGGGCGCGGTGGCTCAAGCCTGTAATCCCAGCACTTTGGGAGGCCGAGGCGGGTGGATCACGAGGTCAAGAGATCGAGACCATCCTGGTCAACATGGTGAAACCCCGTCTCTACTAAAAATACAAAAAATTAGCTGGGCATGGTGGTGTGTGCCTGTAATCCCAGCTACTCAGGAGGCTGAGGCAGGAGAATTGCTTGAACCCAGGAGGCGGAGGTTGCGGTGAGCCGAGATCGTGCCATTGCACTCCAGCCTGGGTAACAAGAGTGAAACTCCGTCTCAAAAAAAAAAAAAAAAGCATTAATCTCTTAATATAAAAAACAAAATGTGAAGTTACAAACCAGTGCTAGAAAAAGGAAGTATTGGTTTCTTAAATAATGCAGAAAACAAAAAGTGGAGTTATAGATTTCTTACAAGAATACTAGCTTTTATAATCGTCCATATATTTGCCTTTATTAAGATCTTTCTTCATATGCCTTCAGGTTCCTGTCTGGCGTCCCTTCTTTTCAACCTACAGGACTCCCTTTAGCATTTCTTGCAAGGCAGTTCTGGTGGTAAAAAGCTCCTTTAGCTTTTATCTGAGAATGTCTTAATGTCTCCCTCATTTCTGAAGGACAGTTTTGCTAGATACAGGATTCTTAGTTGACAGTTCTTTTAGTATTTTAAAAGAAGTACTTTAAAGTACTAACGTACTTTCAGCCTCCAGTGTTTCTGATGAGAAATGTTCTGATAATTTTTTTTGAGAATCTCAAGATTCTCTTCGTCTTTTCTCCTGATCTTATGATCTGTCCACCTAGGCCTCCTTAAGTGCTGGGATTACAGGCGTGAGTCACTGCACCCAGAAAACCGTTATTTATTTATTTATTTTAAATATTCTCTCTGCCTCTTTCTCTTTGCTCCTTCAGGAACTCCCACAGTGTGCGTGCTGGCCTATTTGACGGTCCCGCAGGCCCTTTACTCTTTGTTTACTTTTCTTTACTCCTTTTTTTTTTCCTGTACCTCAGATTCAATACTTTCCATTGTCCTGTCTTTAAGTTCCCTGTTTTTTTCTTCTGCCTGCTCAAATCTGCTTTTGAATCCCTCTAGTGAATTTTTTATTTTTGTGGTTGTACTTTTCAGTTCCAAATATTTTTGGTTCTTTTTAGGTTTTCTATCTCTTATTGATATTTCCATTTTGTTCATACATTGTGTTCTTGACTTTCTCTATATCTTTAGTTCTTCAAGCATCTTTAAGATAGTTGTTTCAGAGATATGCCTGAAATCTACTACTTTGTCTGGTAGATATGCCATCAGGTCTTTTTCAGGTACAGTTTCTGTTGATCTATTCTTTTTTTTCCTTTGACTGAACCATACCTTCCTGTTTCTCTGTATGCTTTCTGATTTTTTTAATTAAAAATTGGATATTTGAATCTAATAATGTGGTAACTCCGAAAATCAGATTTTCCCCTTTCCTTGGGATTTGCTGGGGGTTGTTTATTTTTGTTTCTTGTTTATTTATTTATTTTTTTAGACAGAGTCTCACTCTGTCATCTAGGCTGGAGTGCAGTGATACGATCTTGGCTCACTGAAACCTCTACCTCCCAGGTTCAAATGATTCTACGGCCTCAGCCTCCCAAGTAGCTGGGACTACAGCGCGTGTCACCACACCCAGCTACTTTTTTGTATTTTTAGTAGAGACAGGATTTCACTGTGTTAGCCAGGATGGGCTCAATCTTCTGCCCTCATGATCTGCCCGCCTTGGCCTCCCAAAGTGCTAGGATTACAGGCATGAGCCATGGCGCCTGGCCTCTTTTTGTTTTGAGACAGTCTCACTGTCACCCAGGTTGGAGTACAGTGGCATAATCATGACTCATTGCAGCCTCTAACTCCTGGGCTCATGTGATGCTCCCGCCTCAGGCTCCCCAGTAGCTGGACCTACAGGTGCATGCCAGCACACCTGGCTAATTTGTTTGATTTTTGATGGGTGTAGACTGTCTTTGTGCTGAGGACCAGCCTGAGATATAAACCTAAGGTCTGGGACCTTTTCTGAGTCTGTACTTTTTCCTGAATAAGCATAGTAGCTTTCTCATTTCCCCAGTGTATGTGGTTGCTTTTGAATATACAAGTCTTTAATATCTGGCTCCTAAGAAGCGGAGAAAAGAAAAATGATGGAAGGGAAAAAAGAAAAATGATGGAAGGGAAAAAAGAGCACTGGCCCTTTTAAACCCCTAGCAGTCACTTCAGCCAGAGGAGAACCAGTTTCTAACAATGGGAAAAAGTGTAAGACTGACTACCCACATCTTTCTCTGCCCTTCTGTACTAAGAGGCAGCAATGAGTAATCAGAGCACAGATCCCCAGTATTTGGAGGACAGGGTTCTTTTTGCCCACCTGGTTCTTGTAAGTTGTATGCAAACTGCTCCAGAAGTAAATGCACAGTTGCCTGCCACAGGGCTGTGGATGAGCTTCTGGGATGTTGTATATTCACGTCTTTTATGACTTTTGGGGAGTTTCTAGCCTTTTTTTTTTTTTTTTTTTTTTAAACGGAGTCTTCCTCTGTTGCCCAGGATCTAGGTTGCGCACTCTTTATGTGAATGGGGGATGGGTAGCTGTAACTGTGCTAAGATCTGAAATAGACTAAAATTAACTGTAATTGATAATACAAGCCTTTTCCTGGAAGTTGCAAGCCTTTGGTAGACTCCAGATTTCCAAGATAATTACATCAGACAGAGTCTGCCAGTGCAGTTGCCTAGGTGGGGAGACAGATTCCTGGTGTTTCCTACTCTACTCTCTTCCCAGAATTTTCTCTGATCCATGTTAATTTTTGGCTGTCCTACTTTCTAGCAGTAAGAACCTCCATTTCCTCATCTATGAAATGGGTAAAATACTTGCTTAAGAGTTTTGGGAGGGTGAAATAAAGCCACATATGTCTAGGACTTAGTACATTGCCTATCATGCAGTAAAGATTATGTCGGTCTCCAACTGCATTTGGATAATCAGTAATTTTCTAGCTTTGTTCAGTCAGAATCCCATTATGTCCCATAATGCCATTATGATGTCAAATGCTAGTGAAGAATACATCGTTCATGGTTTGATAAATGGACCCTGGTAACAATGCTGTTTATCTTCATTACAATGAATTAAACCAAAAAAATCCTATAGAAGATTTCCCTAGGCATTTACTATATACAACCATACATACTAAAGAGACTGCTTTAGTATCTACTACATGCTATGCTTTTTATTTAAATATTCTCTTGATATATTTGATCACAGGATGTTTATATTTCAAGGAAGAGGGGAAAATATTGGGAGGTGGTAAATCAGTGAAGAGTGATTTTTAGAGCCAGATGTGGTGGCTATCACCTTTAATCCCAGCACTTTGGGAGGCCAAAGCAGGCAGATTGCTTGAGCCCAGGAGTCTGAGACCAGCCTGGGCAACATGGTGAAACCTCATCGCTACAAGAATTAGCCTGGCACAGGTGGTACACAGCTGTAGTCCCTATTACTCAGGAGGCTGAGGTAGGAGGATCCTTTTATGAGTTGTTGGCTGTGTTCATGTCAAAACATTTTATTGGGTTACTTTTTATTTTTTTTCCTTGTGAGACAAATTCCTGCTTTGTCATCTAGGCTCTGATACAGTGGTATGATCCTGGCTCACTTCAACCTCTGCCTCCCAAGTTCAAGCAATTCTCCTGCCTCTGCCTCCCACAGAGCTGGGATTACAGCCACCCACCACCATGCCTGGCTAACTTTTTGTATTTTAGTAGAGACAGGGTCTTGCCACGTTGGCCAGGCTGATTTCGAACCCCTGACCTCAAGCGATCCACCTGCTGCGGCCTCCCAAAGTGCTGAGATTACAGGTGTGAGCTACCGCACCCAGCCTGGGTTACTTTCTGTAATTAACTCCCTTCTCTGCAAATTATATTGAAGATGTTTTATCCTAGTCTGAATTTTAACTTGGGTTGGAGTGCCTTTTGTTTAATGTTCATGGAACTGAATTTTTTAATTAATTGTGTTTTATATCATGCATAGGAAGGTACTTCAACCCTAATATTTTTTAAAAGGTAGTAATTTCTAGTACCTTTATAGTTTTGTGCTTTGTGTATAAATTTATTGTCTGACTAAAGTTTATTATTACATATGATGCACAGTTTTTTTCCAAGTAGTTAATGATATCTCAATAGTAATTTCCTGTAGAAACATGGGGATCTTTTTGGATTCAAAGCTCTGTTCTATTTATTTGTCTCTTCCTTTGCCCTAGGGTTGTTCTCACTATATAAGTTGGCATTGCCACTAAAATACATTGTAGACTGCTTTATAGTAGGCTCCCCCCCACCCCAGGGCACCACAGCAGGAGGCATTACCACCTGAGCTCTGCCTCCTATCAGATCAGCAGTGGGATCAGATTCCCATAGGAGCGCGAACTGCACATGGGAGGGATCTAAGTTGCGCACTCATTTTGAGAACCTAAGTAATGCCTGATGATCTGGGTTGCATGCTCCTTATGAGAATCTAACTAATGCCTGATGATCTGAGGTGGGATAGTTTCATCCCAAAACCATCCTTGCCCTTCCTTTCCCCGATGTGGAAAAACTGTCTTCCACAAAACCGGTCCGTGGTGCTAAAAAGGTTGGGGACCATTGCTTTATAGTCTATAACTTATAAACACTTTTTAATGTTCCATTTTCTTTGATTCTTAGGCCAACTGGAAAGACATTTAGGGCAAAGAAGATATTTGCTATTCATATGAATGCTCTTAGAATTATGAGGCCCAAGGGCCGGGCTCTATGGTTCATGCTTGTAATCCCAGCACTTTGGGAGGTTGAGGCAGGAAGAATGCTGGAGCCCAGGAGTTTGAGACCAGCCTGAGCAATGTGGCAAAATTGTCTCTACAAATATACAAAAATTATCAAGGTGTGCACTATTGGTGCACAGCTGTAGTCCCAGCTACTCAGGAGGCTCTGGTGGGAGGATTGCATGTGCCCAGGAGGTCTAGACTGCAGTGATCTGTGATCACGCCACTGTACTTCAGCCTGGGTGACAGAGCAAGACCCTGTTTAAAAAAAAATCTGAGGCCCAAGCTCAGTTGCTGGTATGCAGGGGTGGGTTGGGCAGTCAGTTCTTGCATCCACCCTCCTTAATCCCAGGCCATTGACAGGAATAGAAACTGTGGTCCATAGAAACCAATAACTACTCTTTTCTCTTGGAAATTATTAAATGAGTAGAATATACATTTATCTGTAGTTCCTACTCTTGCTGAGTGTAGTTCATGTTGAAGACTTTTGGGTGACAGATCCTTGGCAGAAAAAAGAAAATTTTAAAAAAAGACTTACATTGTGGGATTTCGTGTTTGCAGGATCCCTGTCCTAGTATCCTTACACAATATGGTTTACTCTCTGTCTTATGTGCTAATATCCTAGAAACACTTAAATTCATCTGAAAATTAGCAGAGTAAACATGACGTAGGAGGAAGGGAACTAATATCATTTAAGGGCTTCTTCATGGCAGATGCTCATTTAAGTACTTGGGTCACTGCACTTGGTCTGCTCAGTGACCCTGTGAGATAGACAGTATTCCCATTGAAAGCTGGGAGAGGTTAAAGAATTCTTCCAGGCTCATACAACTAGCATATGAAAGAGTAACCCATTATCCTGTTAGTATATTTTCTGATTTCTATACACATCATTCACATTATGATTTGGGACGTTGTGACCTTTTAGGCACACTCAAAATGAATTAAAATTAAAATATATTTTCTCTGTTCTTTTAAGGTTACGCAGATATAAAGTCCTAGGGAGTAGTAACTCTGACTCAGACCTTTTCTCCCGCCTGGCCCAAATTCTTCAAAATGGATCTCAGAAATCCCGGAGCACTACTCAGTGCAAGAGTCCAGGATCTCCTCACAACCCCAAAACACCACCCAAGAGTCCAGTTGTCCCTCGCAGGAGTCCCAGTGCCTCTCCTCGAAGCTCATCCTTGCCTCGCACGTCTAGTTCCTCACCATCTAGGGCTGGACGGCCCCACCATGACCAGAGGAGTTCATCCCCACATCTGGGGAGAAGCAAGTCACCTCCCAGCCACTCAGGATCTTCGTCCTCCAGGAGGTCCTGCCAACAGGAGCATTGCAAACCCAGCAAGAATGGCCTGAAAGGATCTGGCAGCCTCCACCACCACTCAGCCAACACTAAAACCGCCCCAGGGAAGAGTAAGCCAGCCAGTAAACTCAGCAGATAGGAGCCAGGCTGCATCTCTTTGAAAGGTGTGAGATCTTCCTCCTAACCCTGATGCATGTGTGTCCCTGTACTGTCTGTTTAAAAAAACCAGTGTTGATCTTCTCTTGCAAAAGAAAGTAACATGATCAATTATTTATAAGAAGACATAAATACCTGATAAGGAAGTACCTAAGGCAGGCAGCAAGCAGATCAGGAATCGATGTCTTTGTACAAGAAGGAAAAATAGAGCAAAAATCCAAGGGGGAGAAACTCATTAAAATGAGCTCTCATTTTTAAGCTGCCTTTGAAACAAAAGAGTTGAGGACAGGAGACAGAATGGAATTTTAGGGAGTTTGCCTAATTTTTTTAAGCCTCACCTCAAAGATTAAATAGCAAAGTGAAACTTCTTGTTTGATATTTTCATTCAAAACCTTCCCACCCTGGAGAGTCATTGATCAGATACTATATTGTGTAAGAAGTCTGTTGCCAGGGAGCCAGTACCGTTTATTTGGCTTGTGTGTATGTGTATTGAGAATGAACACCTTTACTTTGCCTCACTTCTAGTGCCCTCCCTGGACTTCCGATTTTTTTTTTAAGTTTAGTATGTCTTATTTGATTCCGTCTCTCTGCTTTTATTTTACGGTCCTAACTGTCCTTTCAAATCCAATTACTTTTTTTTTAGTTCCCTGATTTTTTTTTTTTTTTTAGAGCAACAGTTCTTAACCTACTATATTTTTATTATGAAAAATAAGAAACTTAGGTAAAGGAAAGAAAAGTCTAACTAGAGCTACTTTGCAGGATTTAATGTTTAAGGAGAGAAAGAAAATGTTGGGGAATAGCCTTCAAGATAGAAGAACCCCCTTCTTCCCTGTTAAGTGTCCTCCTTTAGAAACTTGAGTAGAAGGAAAACTGACCAGAGTAGACTGCTTCCTTAAGTCTTCTGAGTTCCAGCTGTTTCTAACATCAGCCTTCAAGATGATACTAGGGAAGCACAATGCTTTGGAATATGACTTGAGATTTAGAAATAAATTAGATGTATTACTGGGGCTTAGAATCCTCAAACTTTGTATTTTATACAATTAGCCAATAAGGAATTAATATTTGGGGAACTAAGTTTAGGCTAAATATTTCTCTTTTAATGTTTTATTACCTGCTTCTCCTGTGTTTTAGTTCAATATTTGGGCTTCTTGGCTTGATTTTCATATAATCTCAATTTATGAAGCTGTAAAGAGGAAGATACTTGTTTTAATCTCACTCTTCTAACAGGAATCAGGCAAAATGAAAGTATACCAGACATTTTAAATGGGCTGTTTTATACTCTCTAGGTGTTTTGTGTTGTAAAAGGTCAGGTAAATTGGTCTACTTGTTGTTGAAATTTGCCTTCTAGCAAACATCTGTGCTTTGTTGGACCTTGTGTTTGCTGCCAAACCCGATATGGTTGAATTGGGAAACAAAAAAAGAAATACATTTCCTCCCCAAGTGAACAACTTCTAATGCTGCATCAAAGCTGCCCTGAAGCTGCACTGAACTCTTGTTCTCTTTATCTGTGTTGAGCTTTTTAAAAAAACAAACTCAAAACACTATTGAGGCGTATAACGTCTCTTAAAAGAAATGTAGCATAGTGTGGAATCTTAATTTCTCTCCAGTTTCAAACACTACAGAGGGATGCAATAGATAAGACATATTTGCTGTTTATCTGAAGCAACTGTAATATTGCAAGACCAATCCTTCTGTATTATATTGTATAATAGTTGCTATAACACTACTTGCATGTCTTCATGATAAATTATATAAATATTTATAAATATATAGAGAGACATATGCTTATATAGACTCATTCTTTCTCATTATCCATTTGTAATTTAAAGATCGCAGATGCTGAAATTCCTTTTATATTGTGTGCCTCGTACACTTGGGCCTTGCCTATCTTCATTTTCTGAAAATATGTTCTTGGCATGTGACATCTGAGTCTTCTTGCCTTCCCTATGTACAATCCAAGGGTTGGCAGTCTTTAACAAGCCAAGATAGGTTATTTAATTTTCATTTAAAAAAGATTTTGTAATAGGGAAAAAATTATGGGGACATGGTTGTGTACTGGTTCAAAGATTTGTCATGTTAATCACGTATTTCTCTCCTTATAGTAAGAGTGGATAAACTGGATGATAATGATGAGTCTGACAGATTTTTTAAATATCTCTTAAACATTGCCATTCTTTGCTTATACCCATTACTGGAGATAGTAAAAAAAAAAATCATTGCCATTTTACTTTGCTCTTTTCATCTCACTTTTTTGGCAGGAGGGTTGGGGGATAATGAAGAAATTATACCTTTTCTGTTGCATTAGCGAAATTGTGCTAAAAGTAGCTAGCTTTAAATTCCAACCCCTTTAGTCAGAAATATGCTAGTAGTAATCATTGGAAAAGCTGATGAGGCTACAATTGTGGTGCGTGTATGTGATTTTATTTCTTATTGGCATTTCTCTGCTGGCAGTTGAAACTGATGGTGAGAATGTGGCAACTGAATGTTTTCTCTTTTTCTTGGTTCCTTCCATTTTTTTTCCTGACCTTTCCAGTGTGTTGCCCCCTTTTCTAAATGGTGTTGACAAACTCATCAGGATCCAGAAATAAACAGTCTCATCATGTAAGAATATTTTATACTGCATGTAGAGCAAAGAGTTAACCAAAGATGTTTCTGCTCTGATACTTTCAAAAGAAAACAGACTAATTATATCATAGGTGGTATCAATAGGTCTGCTTATAAGTACTGTCCTATGTAGAGATTTACTTTTTGGTTTTTACAAGCATAGTTTGTGCTTTTAGATGTTAGATGTCTCTCAGGCAAAAAACAGAAGTTGACAGCCCTGAGCAAGCATTTGTGACACAGGGATTTCTATTTTTGTTTTAAAGTATGATACAGAGAATGGGGTTTTGGGGTCGATTTGGTTTGGTTGTGTTTTTTAGTTCTTTATTTTTTATTTGGGGGCTGTCTTAGTGATGGCATATTTCAGGTTTCAATGACATAGATCAAGTAATTTTAAACCAATTTGGTTTTTCTACCTAAGGTGAGGGATATGGCTATTTAGGTCAAGCCAAACTATACTAAAAGTAGTACAGGGCAGAGTTAAAATTACCTTTTGAAAATCAGGTATTACCTGGTTTCTTCTGTCACAGCAGAATAGCTGGTTACCTAGAGTCAGTCACAGTTGCCCTCGCCCTCCCTTGTCTAGTCCCTGGAAGTACTTGAGTTGAAAAGAAGGTGGAAATAGCAACAGCTCAATCATTTTAGGTAGCACTTCTCCTGAATTCTTCTCCCAAGTCCCCAGGGTCTGTGGATTGGTTGAAACAGTAAAATCATACATAGTGATTTCTTGCACAGCATAGAGGCATTTAATTTTAGTGTCTAGTGAACAGAGAAGGGAAACTGGGTCATATAAAATTTAACCTTAAAACACAGATTATACATATCTTTGAATGTTAAACAGATAGGCACTCCCATTCTTAACTGTGGTATGCAAGCTGGCCTTGCTGACAATGGCATCGTTACATTTACCGTTTTTTAAGTTGCATGTTGTGATGTGAATGTTTTTTGTAAAAGTTGCCAAGTTAATTGAGTACTGAATAAGTAGCAAAATGGTATCTGAGACCCACTGTAGTCATTACTCGCTTTATGTTATTCGCTTTCAAATACTAAAATCTCAGCTGCAAATTCAGCTTTCAAGATGTGCAGTATCTCCTTCTCTTAGCTCCTAGCCATGTTGGGAACTTCTTCAGTGTCATCAGAGATTCCTCCCAGGCCACATATTTTATGCTAATATTTCCATAGTTGCATTCAATCTATAAGGAAAAAGTGTACATTGGTGCATGTTTTATAAACCCAGACACACAGATAGCTAAAACCATAGTTTTTCTATACTCAAGAGCTTTGAATTAAAAACAGATGCTTTTTTTCCCAAGAGCAGACAATTCTACATTCCTAACATAACATTAGGAATTGGTGATAGGAGAAGCAGAATCCAGAATGCAGAACGATTTAGTGAGACTTAGGAAAAAAACACATTTTCCCCTGTTGTTGGAACATTTATTTATTTGTACTTAAGTCTAGATTTAGTCTTGAAGATCAAAGTTTTTTTGTATTTTAAAAACTTCTTTCATTCCTTTATATTGATAAAAATATGGCCTATGTTAGAGAACCATTTTTTCTGTCATGTTTATGTATTTTGGAATTAAGCTGTTTGCATTCACTTTCAAAATCTGCCCGTTTCTGTTTATGTGCACTTGCCACAGATGTGTCGGGACTTTACCTAAGGGGAGAGATACTTTAGCACCCGTGTCACCTGAGGAGATGGAGTGCTTGACGAGTACTATTGCGCCATATAACTTGGGGTTTTGTTCTGTAGACAATATATTAGCAGAATAACTACTTCTCAATGATACCACAAAAAGTATTACAGGATTAAGGCATGTAACTTCTGTGGTAGTCCTTATGTATCAGTATATAACCAAGTTCAGAAACCACAGGTGCATTTTTAGACCTTTACTTAGAGAACTAAAGGCAGTTCCAAGCATCAGCTCATATGGGGGGATTAATACATGAAAACACTAAGAGGGTGTGTCGGGACATCATACTTCCCTGTCCTCACCCAGTAGAACTCTGGTGTGTGTCTTGAGGATACGGAAGTAGAGTGGAAACTCATCATATCATTGAGTGTATTCTCAGTATTTTGGAATTAAGAGGAATTTAGCAAAGTTTCAGAAACCTTCAGAATCCATTGCCCAACACTACCAGAAAAACTGTAGGAGGCACGTGGGGAATTCCTATAGTTCTTAGGTACGATCAAGACATGGGACAAGGATCCCTATCCACATAAAGGGGAATCTGGACACTGCACACCTCACTCTCTGAAAAATCCCTGGCTGAACATGGAATTATGACAGTAAAGTTTTGGCCCTTTAGTTTGCTAGAACAGCTCACAGAAATTTTAAAAAGTAAAACGAAAATAAAGTGCATGCCCATTAAGACGTCTTCTAATTCAGTTGTGATTATCTGCCCCTTCTTAAAAAAATATGTAAGCTTGATGTTTATTCCCTTTCAGCAAATTTGCATCAGAAAATTAAAGTATGTGACAAGATCAGGTCACCTTGAATTTCCATACAATCTCAAGACACTGAATAGAAAAAAAAAAAAAAAAATGCAGTAATGATTTGCATATTTTCTCAGACTTTGCTGGATCTTTGGTCTTAAGTTAACAGGTAAAATTAGTGAAGCCTTTCCTCTCATGGCCCTGTGCAACTTAAGAGTTTCTCCCTCCTCTTTGGCTGGAAGTGTTAGTGATAGCATGGGCACAGAATGTGTGTCCACTGGTGATGCTGACCATATCTCCCAGGTAGCCTGGCTCTGGGTTCCTTGACCTAGGGAACAAGTTTAGATGAGACATAACTTTGAGCCCATGTGACTATAGAATTTGCTGATGACATAATTTTATAGTAAAAATTGATAGGAATTTTACCTCTCTTTTTAGTAGTTTAATATTATTTCATATTATTTATTTGTGTTCACTCACCTAATTAAAAACATTGAGTAAACAAACCAAGTTTTTATATAAACTACCCTTGCCATATGATTCTCTTTTTCTCTTGTAATATGCAGTTTAAATCCTGAGAAATTCATGCCCAGCATTTCACCACAGCTGGACTCTGGGTATTCTTCACTCACCTACAAGGAGTAAACAAGGCTACCAGAACTTGAATTCTACTTATTTTAGGGAGCTACCCAGGGAGGGGAAAGCCCTTGGGACTTTTTCCAAAACAATCTCTTTGCTCTGTCTATTCACCAGATAAAGTAGTCCACTAAGGTGAAAAAGCTTTCAAAAATACAAAGATAATGCCTGTAATCCCAGCACTTTGGGAGGCTGAGGTGGGCGGATCATGAGGTCAAGAGATCGAGACCATCCTGACCAACATGGTGAAACCCCATCTCTACTAAAAAATACAAAAATTAGCTGGGCATGGTGGTACGTGCCTGCAGTCCCAGCTACTTGGGAGGCTGAGGCAGGAGAATTGCTTGAACCCAAGAGGCAGACATTGCAGTAAGCTGAGATTGCGCCACTGCACTCCAGCCTGGCACCTGGTGACAGAGTGAGACTGTCTCAAAAAAAAAAAAAAAAAAAAAAAAAAGATAAAGGAAATGTAACACTGGCCCACTTGGGGCTTTGAAATTAGATTGGTGGACAGAATAAATGAAGCCTAGATGACCTGGGTTTGAGACCTGCTTACTTCTCCCTGATACGTAGTTCCTTGTCCCCCTTCTGACCCTTTTTCTAAAATAGCCAGTGTCTATTTCACTGGGCCATTTACTTAACAAGTTCCCAGCTTTTAGGAGAAAAAGATGGAGGGGGGAGCAGCTAGTTTTGAATTAGATAAACATCTTGAAAGTAATGAGCTATTGGCAGTTGTTAAATCAGCTGTTAAATCAGATTCAGCCGCAAACCCCAATTCTTGTTGAACAAGACCACTGAGTTAGAATAGATGACTTTAATAATTCTACTTTTCTCTCCCTCTCTTCTCCTCTTTCTGAAATCAGAGAGATGAGAAACTACTCTTTGAAATAACTCCAGAGGTGTTTATTGTGTCCCTTTCCCCTATGAGCAGCTCCTTTATACAATTTTGCTCAGGCAACCAAGGACATAGAGTATTGGCAGAAACATGGAGTGCTTTTATATAGGCCACCTGTACATAAAAGTGTAATTATTTATTTAATTTTCCCATTTGTATCATATTAAAGCTTTGTACAGTGTTTTAAGTTCTGTTTTAAAATTATTTTGTATTTTATTTTTATAAC